TACTTTCAAATTTCTGCCTGTCCTATTTTTTTCTGCCAAAATAATTTGCCACAGCTGGTCCATAGTTACAAACCATTTGGGTCCCTTTCCCTCCCACTCTCTCCAGGTGTATTTTCAGCAATGTAATGAGTCACCGAAAAGCCTGTGCCCGCTCCCCTCCAGCGCTCTTCCCCGCTTCAGCACGCGGGTGCAGCCTCTACCTTCTCCCACCCGCTTTGGCCTCCACCTACCCCAACCCCCTTTTTTGTCCTGACCAGCCAAAGAGTGAACTCTTGTACCAGTTGACACACGGTAGGATCCTGCTAGCTCTTCAGTTCTGTCCTAATGCAATTAGTTATGTATAGATTGATTTTAGTGTCAGCTAGCTAAGGCTTCCAGTAAGACTGGCTTGCATCCGAGTGTTGCATACGCATAAACGTGCCTCTGCTCTAACTCCGTTCCTTTCCTTGTAGTTGCTCCAGATTTTTTCCTGGCTCCAGTTGCTCCTGGCCTGCCAAAATAGGTTTTCAGCATTAAAAAATTTAAAAGATAAAAATTAAACAGTCATTCTGGCAAGAACAAGCTTTAAAGTTAAGAAATTTTTTCGAGTTAAAGTTGAGGAAGCAGGGAGAAAACTGGTTTCGGATCAACCGTGAAAATGAAAGCTTTTCATGATCCCTTGGTTTGGCCATTAGGTTAAGATGTGAACAGCTTCCACAATAAATGGTCTCTCTTGTGTCAGCTGTGAGGAAAGTCACTCCATGAACCTCTCCTTGCAACCCCTGCCCACCCACAGCCCCATGGCAGGCTGCTTTTGAGATCATTTGAAAAAAAAAATACAGGAAGATAGATCATATCGGTGCACTGGTCCTGTTGGCCAAGGATAACTTTTGCTATCCTTGTGCAAGATGAGCATGCTTGAGGTGAAGATCGGCTTCCTCAGGTGACCCTGCCGGATCTTGTCCTGGGAACAAAAGCACCTGGGAAAACCCTGCAGTGAAACTGGTTGCCCTAAAACGCTGACATGGCCTCTTTCTTGTGTTTGGCTTGGGAAGGGGGATTTTGCTTTGGGTGCAAGTGAAAGCGGATGGATCAGATTATGCCTGGGTTCCTAGGGAAAGTCTTTGCTTTGTGTAACGGGGCAATGCTTAAATGGGCAAATTACATGTAACCTCTTTTATTTCAGCATTTATTTTGTTATCTCCATCCTTCTCTAGCTAAGTTATTTTCTCTTACATATGGGTGCCTGGGTGGAATATTGTGCAGTCGTAGGTCTTGGGCTCCAGCAAAATTTGATTTGCGAGTTATTACCTGAACATTAGTAAGCTTGCCGTATGGCTTTTAGTTTTCTAGGTGTTTTATTTTATTTTCATATTATTTTTATTTTTAGACCTCCACAAAAGCGCTCCCATTGCCAGGTGTGGGGATGCGATCAGCTGCTAGAAAATCAAAGAATATGCTAATTTTCTTCTCTGCGCAGTGAAACCCAGGCAGTGATTTTGGATGTTAAGTGGGAGGTAATGCAGGGCTGCAGTGGTTTCAGTCAGTTTCCCTCAGTGTTAATTACTGCTTGCCACTATTGGTTGCACTTCCAATAGTGTCGAGGAGCCTGGATACCACTGCAGGCCTCATAGGGTGAGTGTACGCTTTTATATCATCTCTCACCTTGTTCCCTGTAAACTATAGTATTGCAACTGCCGACTATTTTCCTCCATTTGTGTTTTCACTTTTCCTACCCTTTCAAAGAGGAATATAGCAGGATGAAGGCAGCGTGGACTGAGCTGTAGTGGAGAAACACACTGCTGTTGCGTGCTGTTGTTGGCTGGTGTAAATAAGCATCATTTCATTAACTTCTCTGGAAGCAAACACAGGCTTAACCAGTTAGGATTCTAGCTGGATCGTTTTTTTTCTGTATTACTTGCATCTTTATAGTTTTCACAGTCAATAGGAAGAATATGGAGCTGAATGAGCGAGCTATTAGATTCTCACAGTTTTCATTCATTGTGTAGACTCAAACAATAATTTTTATATACTTTTACACTTGGAAGCTCTCTCTCCATCAGTTGCATTAGTATTGCATTTTTGACTTCTGTTGTTCTAATATTGCCTCTCCTGTGCTTTCACTGACCATAGGAAAAAAAAGTCCTGATTAAACAGTGCCTAAGTTTTTTTTCTATTAAAGTCAAAGAAAATCCTTTACTGAATAGAGAAATGTAAATATACAGTCCTACAATCGTATCTTCGCACCACACTGAACTAATGAGGTTCATAATCTCTGATGGAGGCTCCTGGGCTGTAAAAGCAGGATGGCGATCGCGTTAAGTGACGCACTGGAATTCCTGGGTTTCGACAAGCCCAGCGCCTTGGTGCTCTTCTGTCTTGATGTAGTTCAAGAAGGAGTAAGGAAATGCAATGTTGTGTTCAGTTCTGGGCACTGATGTCACCTTTTTCGTGCCCATAAGTAAACTCGTATGCTAAGTTTCTAGCTATCTTAGGTGCTTACAGATCATCCTTTCGCTGCCTCTCGGTCCTTGATGTATTTATCTTCACAGCAGTCCTCTGAAGGAGGAAAATAAGACTTTCCTTGTTTGGAAGAGGATTAACAGAGGCACACAGAAATTGAGACTGTGTAGTTGTGCAGTTCTTTGAGGTCTGTGGCAGCAGCAGCTATAAATTTGTCCAAGTTGGTTTGTTTCCAGCTGTCTCTGCTAGATACTGTTAGCACACGTTTCAGGGCACGTTTCACTATGGTTAACTGAAGACATAACAGGGTCCCAAGAAGGCTTTTTACCTCATAAGATGTTTCCATCCATTATTCAGCTGTCAAAATAAATAGAAATTTGGCTTGCTTTCTTCAAAATAAGGCCTTTGTAACTAAGATCAGATAGCATCAAACAGTGAGAACCTTGTTTTGACACACCGGAACGCTAGCGCTTCATGCTCCCAGCCACAGCTCCTGAGCAAAATTGATGCGTGTGAATTTTCTACTTAATTTTTGACTTGTGAACAGTAAGATAAGAACCGAAGAATCCGAAAACATTGTCGTTCCTGTAGTAACCTTTGGCCTTTGTAGGCCTTTAATTATGCCACCCTGCGTTGGGCACTCTCAGCTTTTTCTCAGCTGAGACTGGCTGTTTTGGGCCGCAACTCTGACGTTGCCTGTTCGTGCCCCAGAAGATGAGGGTGCTGATTCAGTAAGTAAGGCCTCCTCTACTACCACTTAGGAGCACTGTTTTATCTGAAAATAACGTGTCTCAAACCACGAGAAAAGGACATCTCAACACTAATGTGGGCTTTTAAAGGTTTTGTGAGGTGAATTTCATCAGTCCTCATACTGTAACCAAATGCTAATTTGTAGAATTATCCCACCTTTCTAGAAGTTCTTCTTTGACTTCAAAAGGACTGGTTTTTCTTCTTTCTCACCAAAATTGTAGTCTAACGTTGCTGTGAGCAGGTAAATGATTTCTCACTCTAATCCTTTATGATCTCATTTTAGCGAGGAGCACTTAGTAAAGTCTGGAAACATCTGAACACCATGTTCACGGAAAGGTGCTAGAAGTGCAAAGCTTCGTTAGGAATTCAGATTTTAGAAAGATATCAGAGTGTATTTTATTTTTGAAAAACATTGTCTTTCTCCAGTGGGATTCTCATTACATGGCTCTGCTTCTTTGGCGCTCGAACGTTTGGTTACTTTTACTGGCTCTGTATCAGCAAAGACCTTTCTCTTGCCTCGAGAACTGCTGTCCTATTGCACCCCCCCAGAGCCATGTGATTAGCTGAGAAGATAGCGTATCCTCTGGGCTGTGGTGACCTACCACAGGAGGGATCAAACCGAGCAGAAAATTTGCCATATTTAGGTTACTATGGAACAGCTAGTTTTGAAGTTGAGGCCTTAATTGCAGTGCAGAAAGTGAAACACACTGAATCAGAATATGTGATCTTGCTTTCACCAGTGACTAAAGATTTGCATAGTTATTCCCGATTTATAACAGTATAATAAAGAAAAAAGCTTGTTTCCATCCAAGAATGGTGTTGTCTTGCCAATACCTGTCTGAAGGCTCTGACACACGTGGGGGTGTACTTTAAATAGTCTAGTAGAGTAGGTAGGACAGTATCGTGCTTCCAGCTCAAGCTAACGATGGCCGAGTAATGCGGTCGCTTTGGCTTCTGCAGTGCCGTTGTTCTGATCAGCCCGTTCCTGTAGTGGCTCCCTGGCACAACATGTTAGAATTGTAGCTGTGACCATCCATACACTTAAGGAAGGGTGTTTAATTGATCCGCCATTGCACGCAGAGAACATGATTTCAGTGCTGGGGTTAGGGCACCGTTACAGTCGATCCTCATGTCACCCGCTTTCATGCAAGCCCAGACCTGTGGAAGTCTTGGGCTAAAAGCCAAGATTCAGTTCCACTCCCAGAAAAGTCAACGAAACCCATTTAAAGTGGGATGTTTTCACCCTGTACTGAATGCTGAGTGACTTGCCAATGTTGCTATTAATAGTACAGGTTTCTCCCAGGCGTGAGCTAACAGAGCGTGGAGCTACAGCAGGTCTGTGTTGTTTTTTAGCCCAGGGCTGAAAGATGCCGACCGTCTTCTGTGGGAAGAGTCTCGCATTACTTCGGGTCCGATTACCTTTAGCAACTTTCTGAACGTTTTTCTGCTTAATAAATCCTTTCCCCATGGTGTCATTCTCAGCATCAGGTAACCACCATCCCATGCTGAAAGAAGAGATGCCCTACCTAAAACAAAGTAGTAGCTAAAATCTGATGACGTAAAGGACCTCAGGAACCAAATTGTCACTAGTCTTTTGTGTGGAAAGTGTTACGTTTCGCACTGCTGAAAAACAGCATAAACTAGAAAGAAAGGGCAGCAGTTACTGTGTGTTGGGGGTGTTAAACATCATACAGTATGTGGTTCTGACTCTGCACAATTTCTTCTCCCTGTCCCCTTCCCTCAAAATATTTTCTCTTAAACCACATAATTTTACTCTTCTTTTCTGCTTTACAGAATAGTAGTGTAAATACTGCAATAATCTCCAGAGATGTTCTGCCGATCTTTTTGCCTCTTCGGTCTGTGTCTTTTCCTTCCAACTGAAAGGTAAGTGGAGAGTTTGTTTTGTTTTATGGGTGAACATCTGAGCTGTGCTTGGTACAAAGAATGGGAGCTGAAAGGAAGTTATGCCTCCAGCTTTCCAGCCCTTTGAAAGCAAGCTAGGTGCAGTAAGGGATGAGACAAGGACGAGCATCCTGCCTAGTTCCCCAGAGCACAAGGTGTGTGACGGCAGTGCAACCCCTTACCTCCTTTCGGGCCTCTGGCGAGCCTGTGGTTTTCACTGGGAAATCCAAGCCCTCGCGACTCTCAACATCCCTGAGCTTTGTTGGTGATGGAGTCCTAATGACTTGCAAGCAGCTTATGTTTCTGCTGAGCTCTAACGGGCTTAGCAGAAGTGAGGTTCTTTCTGGTGGACAACCTGCAGCGAAGCTCTAGGGGCTATTAGCCCGGCTTTAAAGAGAATAGGAGAAAGCAACTCTACCAGAGCTTTGAGTAACTGAATTGCTGAGTTTCTTACTGCACCCTCCAGCTGTCCTGAGACTCTAGGAGAGGTAAAGACACTGCCCTCCACCTCCTTCATCCCTTCGCAGAGCAATAGCAAACTCTAACGAGCCCCTTGTTTACATTTTCAGCGAGTGAGTACATGACCACATAGGGAATAGCACTATAAAACTTATCTTTTTACAGTGCCCAAACCTAACTCTCTAGCTATTTTATGTGACGGTACAGCTTCGAGAGCCTCGCAGTGCCAGGTATTAGCTTTATTGCCTATCCATAAGATACTAATTTTGACGTTGTAATAGTAGACTGGCGTCAAATCCTCTGTATGGACAGCAGGTAGGTGCAGTCCAGGTCGCAAAGCTTTGTGGCTGGCTGTGAAGCGCTCATGGCTCTCAGAGGTCTTACCCCGACGTTGGCTGTGGGGAGCCTGTCTGACACTAACAAATGAGGAAGAAAGCTTGTTTAGGGAATTAGTGCTCTGAGAGGAGGAGCTGTTAGTGAGATCTGCCCCAGGCTATCATAAGCTTGAGGGGAAAAAAATGTATTTTCCTTATACAGATTGCATGTGGGGAGTCAGAAGGGGGAGAAGACTGCAGGTTATTATTAAGACTTGTGGTATATAGACCTTGCCTGATTTGCTGGGACATTTTAAGAATATCCTTATGACATCGTGTAGCAAACCTGTGGGTGATGCTTGAGGTCCTTTGCAATTTTCCCACCTCTTCACAGCGCTGATTGTTCAGCCAAGTTAAGCAATGAGAGTTGAATGCTAGCAATTTCAACAATTTACTTATTTTTAATAAGCATTTGATGCAGTTTGTTTGCTTGTCTGGGCACCTGCTGGAAGCACTACTGCAGCTGCCCCCCAGATGTGCCCAGCGTGCCCGGCCACGGGTGACATTTCGTGCTTGCGCTCCTAGGAGGGCCTCCTTGGCTCACCTGCCCGACATGCACAGTGGTGACACGACATCCCTCCCTGGATTTGAGAACCTCACCATGGGATACAACAAATACCTCCGGCCCTACTTTGGTGGTATGTCGGCTATGTGCGTTTGGTTGTGTGATGAAAAGTCTGGGAGACTTGCATGAAAAAGAGAGTATGTTTTAAGCCTTATTTAATGTGCCCTGGTTTAAAAGGTTACGCCCCTTCTAAGTAGCCAAAGCCTGTCCTTGTTTCTATGCATCCGGTGTTTTCTTGCATAGTTGTGCGCGTGTGTGTGGAATATTAGAGCACATCCATCTGTGAAGCTAAGAACGGGGAGTTTATGGAAATTCAACACATCCACGAAAGATCTGGCAGAGACCTAAACTCTGCTCTACTTGCGTGCGCTTCTGTTTAGAGTCTGGTGGTTTTCTTGTTTATTTTTGTTCATGTATCTCTATTTAATAGATTGTGGCCGTTCTCCTTGTCTGGTTGAACAGTTTGATCCAAGCGTCAGGGATCTTATGGCCACTACAGGGGGCTACAGCTTTGTAGACAGCCTGTCTCTAGGTTTTACTTGATGCACTTGGTGAGGTGCAGAGGGTGAATTCATAGACAGAGTATCTCGCTGCGTCCAGAGCTCTCCCAAGACCCAGGTTGTGAGTCCATGCTGGTCTGAGGACCAAGGCTGTCTGGAAATCCTACCTGCCTGTGTGGCTGACAACAGCGACCTTCTAAGGAAGACCAAAAATGGTCATATTGCAGGGGAATCGTGAATAGTCACTTGCTCAATGCCAAGCACGGGATGCATGAATGTGGCCTGGGCCATTCACGCCCAGGTGGAGAAGCTCTGGAAGGTGCTCAAAACCTAAGGCTCTGCCTCTGCCCCAGGGTACCGTCTTGGCTGCCCCAAGCATTCTTGCAGATAAATCAGCAAATTTAGTCATGAAGATGCCCTTAAAATACAGTGTTAAGGAAGGGCAAGCTCAAAACCAGGAATTATTTCTATGAAAAATATTGACTTTTGGCACGTGCTTTCATTCAGTGCTGGGACACAAACTAAACTTGCTTTAATCTCTTGTGACCCTTCAGGGAGAGAGCACCCTGACAGACAGTCAGTTATTTAGAAACTCCCCTAGGGCTACTGTCAGGCATCTCCCACCTCCCACGTGAGTGCTGTGAGCGCTTGGAGGAATGGGTTTCTCAGAATTACATTCAGCACCTGAAAAATAGTGATGAAAGTTCAATAAAAGCAATGTTACGAAAATTTTGATAAATTTTGCTTTTCTGCCAGAATCTGTAACTGAAACAATGCTTGGTAGAAAAATTCTTCATCAGCTGTAGCTGGGACTTGCATGTTTCCTACTGTAGCTCCTGCAGACTGGCCTTGTACTTTTGTGAGTTGTTAGCTTCTTCCTCTTTTTCACTGTGATGATAAAACTTCTGGGTCAATAAGGAATTTAACAGATTGTTATATCCAGAATATCTCATCTCACGCAGGAATATAAAAGCTTCACTGAAACCTGTCACATAAATTAACAGATGCTTCTGATTTACGCAATAGAGATTTAAATGCATCTACACCAGTCTATGCCTAGCATAGCCCGCCATGTTTAAAAAAAAAAAAAAAAAAAAAAAACAGGACTCAGGTTTGGCCTATTCCAGAAGCCTAAGTCCTCAAAGATCTACCCACTGGTCACTGATTTCAGTGGATTTCAAGTGCCTAAATATGTGGGAGGACCTTGAAAACAAGATGGAAGGAGCTAAATGAGAATTACTTTAAAACCCCATATCTTTTGCAAATGAATATATTTTGAATTTTGGAACCGTTTAAAAAAAAAAAAAAAAGCAAAAAACAGATCTAATCTAGAAGAAGCTTTAGAAATCAGGTTTCTCTGAATTTTCCTAAATGCTATTTAAAGACCTTGAAGAAGAGTTTCAGCAAGTCTCCTGAGGAGAGGCACTACTGCGCTGATCACTTAGGCAGAGAGGGCTGAGTCTTGGAAGGTGCCAAGGCCTGGCAAGTCCTACTAACAATAAAGGATTTGTGTGCATTAGTGCAACAGTCCCTGCGGTACAGAGGGCAGCCTCGGTTCTTTGAGTCCCAAATTCATACTGAAGCCATCTGGAGTTGGGTCTGTTTGCATCTTTCTGTTTTCATAATTATTACCCTGTCTTTGAAAGATAATTAGTACTATCTTGCTGGACATGGTGAGCTTTCTCTAGCTACCAGCAGTGACATTTCCTGGGGAGGAGCTGCCCTCTTGTGGTAAATTTTAAGAGTTAATGTTAGAAAAGAGCAGACCGCTAAGATTTAGGATGTTTAAAAAAAAAAAAAAAAGAAAAAGCTGTTGCACTTCTGTTTTGCAAGCTGTTTTCACTACTGATAATCTTGACTGCACATCTGCCTTTTTGACTTAGAGGTTCCCCATGCCTCTTGATTTAATTGGAGAAGGTCCTTTAAGACTTCCTTCAGTTACACTGGGGAGCAGTGTTACCAGTTGTGCATCGAATGCCATCGCCTAGAAGCGCAGTAAACTTGTATCAAAGAGGGCTGTATTCAGCTGAGGGTAACAGAAGTTGGAAGGGACCTGAGGAGGGGTCTCCTGCTCAAAGCAAGGTTAGCTTTGAGATCAGACTGGGCTGCTCAGGGCTTTCTCCAGTCAGGTCTTGGAAAACTCCAAAAATGGAGACTGCATAACCTCTCTGGGCAACCTGCTCCACTGCTGGACTGTCCTTATGAGGAAAAACGCTTTCCTTTTCCTTATATCCACTTGGAATATCTCGTTTCCACTTATCCCTGTTGTCTGATTCTTCTGCCATGCGCTACATGGCTCTGTTGTCTCGATGACCTCCCTGGCAGCAGAGGCAGGCTGCTGTTGGGTCCCCTGAGGGCCATCTCTGCTCCAGGCTGAACAAGCCTGGCTCCCTCAGCATCTCCTCAGGGGGAGTGCTCCAGCCCCAACCGTCCCGGTGGCCCTCAGCTGAACTCACTCTCGCTTATCTCTCTTTCCTGTATCGGATGTCCCAAAACTGGACACAGGAGCTCAACAACAAGGGCTGAGCAGAGGGGGAGAATCACTTCTCCCCGTTTCCTGGCTGTGGTCGTCTTCATCCAGCCCATGTTGCTGGCCTCCTTAGCTGCCAGGGCACGCTGCTGGCTCATCTTCAGCTTGCTGCCTGCTGTGACACCCAGGGCCTTTTTGGCAAAGCTGCTCCGCAGACTGTGTTGCTGCAATCTTCCCTTTCACTGTATAATCTCATGTGATTTACCATCAGGCCTACAGAAATGATAGTCCTCCTCCCACACCCATCCTTGGGACTACATCTGCTGCCACTGAAGCAATGGCTGCAGATGGTACCTCCAAGCTCAAGGATAGTCGGCGCCACGTTCCCACGCATAGGGCCAAGACACAGTGACCCAGAGGTGGGCTGTCTTGCAGCCCAGGCCAGCACTGGCCAGCGAGACCATGTGATGGGGCTTCTGATGTGCCTGGGCAAAGACCAAAAGCTTGGTAACTCCTGTAAAGCTGTGGGCCACGGCAGTTTCTGCAGGTGTCCTCCCAAGGACTCTAGGTACCAAATCCCACTCTCTCAGATTCATTGACCAGCTGAAAGGTGCAGGAGAGCCTTTCTGTAGCTCCTTAGCAGCTACTGCTTCAGCCTGTACAAGAGAGAAGCCAAAGCAGCAACAAGGATGAGGGCTGTAGGTAACTAGAGAGGCCACCAGGCAGGATCCTGGGTCTGTTTCTGCCTCTATCCCAGTGCTTGGTCACAGGAATCACCAAATTTCTCTGCCTCTTAGATTTCCTCCCTGAGAAACAGGAATGCTGATTGGTACCTGCTGGTGGAGAGTGCTCTGAGAGCTACATATGAGAAATACTCTGTACAAACTTAACGTTCTTGCCATTGTATGGATGTTGTACACTGGGTGACAAGGGATAAAATGGCCCTTGTTTCCTCTGGGCAAATGCCACTGAAATGCTGCTTTTCTACCTGCTGATCTTCATAGCTAGTGGTGATGAGTATCTGCTCTCTGCTACCACCACCAAATAAAGAAGCCTAGCCCCACCAACAACATAGCAAGTGAAAACTTTATTTTGTGTTATGAAGCCATCTAGCTCCCTGACATGTAGTCTAGCGCTTTGGGCTGCTGCAGTTTTAGAAATGGCATAATCGAGTACAGGGAGGCAGAGAGCTGTGACGGTGCTACACAGGGTCCTCAGTGGTTTTAGTGTTCCTTTTCCTCTTTCCTTCTCTCCACTTAAGCATTTCTTTCCCTCCTCAGGAGAACCTGTTCAAATTGCAATGAGTCTGGACGTCGCAAGTATTTCCAGTATATCTGAGAGTGACATGGTAGGTGGCTTCATTTTCATTTTATAAGAGAGGAGAATAGGATCTGCCTGAGACACCTGTCATATGTTCTTGTGTGTCCAGCACAGAAACTACCAACTCAGCTATAGCCTTCTTGTGGGGTGACAGCCAAGCCAGCTGTGTGTGAGCAGTCCCCATCTGTTTTCTTGCCTGCAAAACGGACAGAAAAAAATACCAATTACAATACTTTCTCATGTCAGTTTTAAATCTAAGTGTTAGTGGGGAAACGTCATTTACTATAGTAAATAAAGTTGTAGTGAAAATCTGTTAGCCTTACTGTGTGCATTTGAAGTCTTTCTGATGTGTTATTGAAATCCAGTGTATTAAATATATGTTTTGCCTCTCGTGGCACATGACATACCCAAGGCTAATGCCATGTGGGTCTTCTGGATATGCGTTTTCACAGGTTTTCCTCTCTCCCCCAGGATTACACAGCCACCATCTATCTGCGGCAGCGCTGGACGGACCCCCGGTTGGTCTTCCATGGCAACAAGAGCTTCACGCTGGATGCTCGCCTGGTGGAATTGCTCTGGGTGCCCGACACGTACATTGTAGAGTCCAAAAGGTCCTTCCTGCATGACGTGACAGTGGGGAATCGCCTCATCAGACTATTCTCTAATGGGACCATCCTGTACGCCTTAAGGTAACTCCACTTCTGGGCTCTGCTGATGATGACGGTTCAGAAAACTATTGATGGTTTCCAGAAATATGCTGGACTAGAGCAGATACGAAGTGTTGTGGGTAAGGAGTTTGGGGTCAACCATGCAGCTCTGACAGTGCTCTTCTGATCCATTACCCACAGTCCTGGGTGCTTAGAAACGCCAACAAGGATCAGGATTCCCCATCATGGTCTGTGCCAGACAAGCTATGTATGTAGGACAGTGCCTGCTCAGAAAGCTCTCAAGTTTCAGTGCTGCAGGGGACAAGATGGGTAGAGTCAGGTAGATTGGGGGAGGGAACAGTAACAGCTTAACAGATGGTAGGAAACCATTTGCTTAACCAGTGCCACATAGCGATGATGTCTGCTCTTTAGCAAAAGGCCTATTTTGTAAATGTCACTGCCGAAATGTGCGGTGTGATTGTGTTAGCATGCCTGGGGACAATACCTCTTTTCAGCTCAGCGTAACTATGTGTGTCCTAGTTACCTCAAGCGCAAAGTAAGGTTGCTATAAGCTATCTCATTTACCCTCCAAGTTGGAGCAGGCCACAGTTTGTGTGCGGAGAGTTACTCTGCCCCTGTGGTAACTTCTTCAGAGGTGTAAACTCTAGCAGTTGAAAATGTGAATCTGTATTAAATCACCCAGCAATTCCCAGGTTCAATTCTCAGGTTGAATTTTCATCAGTGTGGCTGCTGAGAGTATGTTCTCCCAAAGAGAGGTCTCTCTGATTATATCAGTCCATTCATTTCATAAGTAAAAATGATCTGAATGAGAGAGCAGAATCCTTGTGGGTTAGTTTGCTATGAAAAATAGAGATATTCCATTACATGGTTTTATTGCAACCTTTGGCGTTCTTTCTCCTCGTACAGAATTACTACTACCGTTGCTTGTAACATGGACCTGTCAAAATATCCCATGGACACACAAACGTGCAGACTGCAACTCGAAAGCTGTAAGTATAATATTCTAAAGAAACCTGACTTTGCTTGAAATTTGTTTATTCCTATGTAAATGTGCATCTGGAATATTTGGACTGACCGCAAGGGCCTCCGAAATAGCCTTCTGTTCCTGCAAATACTAATTTCCAAAAGAAAAGAACTTTCCCTCATCGTTCTTGAAACACTTATGCTCTAACCCAGGGCTTAGAGGAGTCCTGTCGCTGTGCAATTTATATAGAAGTAGGGTGGTAATAAGTCATACCTTTATTGAAGAGTGGGTAGATCAGCCTTGCACATAAAGGATTAAATAAGGCTGCTCTTTTTCCCAGTTCACTCCCTTTTGCACATACCACTTAATCAAAACCAGCCTGTGGGATCAGTGCATGGGGTGGAGTACAGTAGCGAACAACTTTTCACATTTTTACATGCATTAACACCTGTTGCAGCTACAGTACCCAGCCACTGGCTGTACGAGCATGAACAAGGTAGCGTGAAGGATTATTCTTACTAGAAGAGGAATTGAATACGCCTGTGAAACCAGTGAACTGAAACTAAGGCCAAAGTTAGCTCTGCAGTATAAGTTTTTCTATGAGGGCTCTGTTACAGTAACGCAGATGATGGGACGCTCATCAACAGAAATTCATGAGAAGCCTTAGCCTTAGAAATCTCAAGAAAAGGAATAGTCAGTGAGGTCTGCTCTCAGTTGAACTAAAAGTTCAACCATGGCAAAACTCGCTAAGAAGCGATAACAGGTAAATAAATGCAAAGACTCCAGGAAAACGTAGGAAACCAAAGCGATTTTACACAGGAGCTCAGCAAGAACACCGCTGCTGTTCTTGTGAGCTCATCTGTGAAGCTCTGAAATGAGGAAGCAACCATCTCCCATTTCATGTCACAAAAGGAAACATCTAAAATTCAATTCTGAAATGACCAGATTTTAACTTCTGCGGTTGCAGCACAAAGCACCTGTGGAAGCACATGCTATTTGCACATTAAAATTGTATTAGTTCACCATGATTAACTTTATGACAAAGAATAGCTCCTGAAACGATGATGATTGGCCTCTTCTGCCGAAGTGTAGCTTGTGTTGTTTTAAAAGTGATTGGGTCTTGCATCATGTGCAGTTGTTGTATAATTCCAATGAAATTATATGCACATTGCTCACTGCAGGTTTCATTAGGATAAGTGCCCAGAAATAATGCTATTTGAATATATGCCAGATGAATTAACAACAATCTATCATTTATTATAAAAATTTCCTGAGTAACCACAATTTATAAAACTGTCTAGAAGCTTTGAAAAGTCACTTACTTTGGATTCTAGGCAGAGATTCAGAGCCTGGACACCTAACTGAAGAGTTCATCAAACTCAAGCTCTGGTAATTTGTGTCTAATAAGAAAACACCAATTAGATCAAAACAGAGCAACTGTGTCCTATGCCTTCTACCAGGATGAATAGGTTATCAGCATAAACGCGTCCCTACTCATTTTCTCAAAGAAAGGCACTTAATAAAAGAATCAAATTAGGGAGATTGATGGGCTAGCTTCCTAAATTAAGTGAATGGCTTACTGGTGTCTGAATACAAGCTTTAGGGTATCCCTCAGTCTAACCTGAGGTCATATTCTGTCATTATTTGCATTCTGGGAGGCAATTACTCAGCCACCAGAAATGGGACTTACTGATACTGCTGGAACGCTTGATCTCATCTGTCCCAATATTTGGGGCAGTTATCTAAACATGGGATGCATGTTATTTGTCCTCAGTAACTAAAGCCTTCAGGAATAGGAGGAACGATTTGTGGAGGAAGCTGCTTTTAGGCGATCCATGCGCTCTGGGCAATCCCATGTTCAGGCAGAATAGCCCAGATTGTACCTGTAGAGAGGTCTCAGTGCCAAGCTGTTCCCCAGCTGAACACAAAAATGCCTTTTCTGGTATTTTAGGACGTTTGCATAGGTGGTCCAGTGAAATGTGCTGCTTCTCTGTGGTAAGGGGCTAACAGGGATCTGGATTCTTCTTTTTAACCACTGTTCTTCCTGTTCTTCCTCTCGTGGCTGAAGAAACTATGCTCCAGGATTGTTCCTCTCAGTAGTTTTCTTTTGCTACTGCATGTAATCAAACTGAGGATGACAAGAATTTTATCTCTGAAGGTGTTAAAATATTTTTAAATTGAAATGACCAGTGTAAATAATTGGAACAGATTCTCCGCAGAGTTGCATGTTGTCCACTGTTCACAGTGGTGCATGTTTCTATTCAAGTGATTAAACAAAAAATGCAGACACAGAAGAATAGCCAACTTCCACCAGCAGCCCAAAGGAGTAAAAGGGGCTTTGTTGAGCCTACGATGACTATATCGCATTTCTGCATCCACACAGAAGGGAGGGCAGGGCAGCAGCTGGGCATTTACGGGGCCACCACAGTAATACGGTTCTTTATGTTCTCCCTAGGGGGGTACGATGAAAATGATGTAGTGTTCACGTGGCTGAGAGGAAATGACTCGGTCCATGGCATAGAAAAGTTGCGCCTCTCTCAGTACACGGTGGAGCGTTACTACACCTTCGTCTCCAAGTCCCAGCAGGAAACAGGTGAAGCAGTGACAGAGAGTCGCGAGAAAAGCGCTTTGCAGCGTCCCCCCTCCCCTTCCACGGAGCTGCACTTTTGGACTCGAGAACCCCCAAAGTCTTTAGCGAATCTTAATCTTAGCAAAAGAGATAACTAGATGGTGAAACCTAATCAGTTGTAATCAAGATATTATGGAAGATGGAAATCTATGGAAAGATTTTTAATCAGGTTTTAATACACTGCATTCACTTGATATATTTTTTAAAAATATTTTTTAATGCTTTCCTTCTCCACACATACTTTAATAAACCCTCTCTCTTCCTCCCAGGTCTGCAAACTATAAACACTGCAGGGAGCCAGCCCAGCCAAATTTACAATAAATGGGCACAAAACTAACTTTTTTAAATGTACTCTTGTTTCTAAATGACAATTCTGCCACGTTTTGATGGAATAAGATCCCTTTGTACATCAAGAGTTCAATGTCTTTTTCATCATCAGTGTAAAAATTCTTCTGTGCTATCACGGACACTATATAAGAGGACAAAACTTTCTTAGAATGACCAGGTTTTAAAAATAACAACATCTTGTTGTTTATTGTAGTATGCACAGCACAAGAACAACATGGGTTTTGTTGTTACATTTCAAAGGGAACTATTGTTTAAACACCACAAACGTCTCCTGAAAATACTTGCAATCGAACCCCAGAACTCCTATGTCAGTATCATGACAAACCAATCTAAAATATAGATTAATCTGACTTAATGTTTTTAAGCACAGTATGAAAGATCACAAATTACTAATTGAATACATTGGGTCACAAATTGCTAATGAATACAGGATGCTTTGGGATGTGAGTCAGAGGCTGCTGAAGTCACGAGAAAATCTTTTGTTTATCTCAGCCATCACATAGGACTGTATTTGGCAATGCTCCTTCAAAGTGCTTCTTGGGAAAAATATGCTGTGCTGAATATCTGAGAACAGATGAAGGTATCAGCCCTTCGGCACTGTGAGCTAAGACCCCGGAATAATATATTTCCGCTGTGGAGTAAGTTCAGGAGCCTCTTGAAAGCCACATATTGTTATAGGTATCTTCTGCCTAATTGAATCCCCTTGCCTACCAGCACTGTGCATATTTGGCCTCTTATCTAGGCTGTGTTAGATAAGTAAGACCGCTCAGGCAAGAAGTCAAGCTTGTGTATGTAATGCATCTCCCACGATGTCAGTGAAGCTTGCTGATACACATCAGCTGGAAGGTTTGGTTTTAGGGTGTCTGAATTTCAGTTAGAAGGTCCTTGGAAATCCCATATTCACTGCGTTTCTTCCTTTCATGAATAGGCAGTTACCCACGACTGATCCTGCAGTTTGAGCTGAGAAGGAATGTCCTTTACTTCATTTTGGAGACCTACGTTCCCTCTACTCTGCTCGTCATGTTGTCCTGGGTTTCTTTTTGGATCACGCTGGATTCAGTCCCTGCGAGAACCTGCATTGGTGAGTTATCGCCTACGAAGGGAGAAGGTTTAAGAAGGCAGGGGAGCCTCTGATGGTTGCGTAAATGGTAGTTTTCTTAAGCTCTCTGCTCTGTAGCGGTACATAAAATGGTCTGCTCACGTTCTGCTTTTACTTGAGGCAAAGAGCTGGACTGGAAGTACGAAGAGTGGACGAAATGCTGTGATTGGCACATCTCCCCACCTGTAGAGCTGCATATAGTCAAGGGCCTTGGCAGATTCACAGCAGAGGACAGAGCCCCCATTCTCTATAACAAGCTTGGGGAGGATTGGGCTTCCTTACTGAAGGCAAAAAAAGGAGCCCAGTGCCTTTTGGAGCTAAGCTGCAAAAGGAGGAGAAAGCCCGTGTCAAGGCCCAGCTTCCTACAGTCCTGTGTCTCTGCGGTTGCTCTTCTCAGTAGAATCCCATTTGTGCCAACAGGGTAGCTAGTGCTACAAGAGCAGTTTAGTTGATGGACAGTGAGGATTTGATAGAAGTTGTTGCGCTCTTTTTGGTTAGCAATAGAGGGTGGCACCGTGTGCAAAAGGGTCGGCCAAGCCTTTTCCAAAGTGTCCTCAAGCGAAAGACTTTCCTTTTCTGCTTTCCAAGGAGTAACGACAGTGCTTTCCATGACAACTCTGATGATCGGCTCACGAAGTTCGCTTTCAAAAACCAACTGTTTTATTAAGGCCATTGATGTTTACCTCGGCATCTGCTTCAGCTTCATCTTTGGTGCCCTTGTGGAATATGCAGTGGCTCACTACAGCTCATCACAAAAATGTGCAGCTAAAGCACCTCAAGAGGTAAGGCCTGGTTTACCTTAATAAGCATAGCTATCTTGGATCAACAACAATTAGCCCTCCATTAGGTGAATAAGATGGCCCTCCTGTTATGGGTACTGTAAGAGCTGCTTCCCTTAATTGTCCGTAAATCTAAAGCTTTGTGTGTAACAAGCATAGGATTGTTAGTCATGAATAATGCTAGACCTCTGGGTCTCTGAGCCACCAAAGGAGTAACAGCCTTAGCTGTTAGTCATGCCAGCTTCTTAAGACCACATTGAGGAAGGGACTTTAGCTGACCAATAGAATAGGGTCTGTAGCACTGAGCTGAGCTCCTGTCTGATGTGTGAGAGCATGAAGCACCTTGGAACATGAATTCACAGTAGGCCACATGTCCTGCAGGACCAGCCTTGGCCACCCCCATCAGTGAACATGCAGGGGAACACAAGAATGACTCTCCAAGTTCTGGGCTACAGGAAAGGAAACTGTTGCTCCGCATGGGGTTTCGAGTAGTTAGGTGGTTCTCTCTTTCTTTCCCAAAACGAGGCATGGACCGCTGTTCCTCTCAAAATGCAACCAAAGGAAGAGCCAGTATAACACACATTTCTCTTTTATGCAGTAAATCTGTGATTAGGACATATGACCAGAAAGTAATTACCTCTGCCAGAGGAGGGCTCAACCCTTATTTTTCCCTTCCCAGAAGTTGGTGCCAATGGCCAGTTCATATGGTGTTCTCAGGGGGTTGTCAAAGAGGGTGAATTGCTGAAACTACTCTCCTTCAGTGGGAGCAAGTAACTATTCAAGCATGTCTATAGCCTAGTGGTCACAGAGGGTCCAAAACCTGTCAGAGAGGAAAGAGGTTTCCACATCATCTGCGAGTTCCCTAGCCATTAGGTTGCTAGCCATTAGGTGCAGAAGGTCCCCCTGTGCTGATGTTTAGCAGTGGCAATGTGTTGCAGCTCTAAGAGCAGGCTTGTCCGACCAGTAAAAAGGGGGAATGTCTTGCAGGAGATAGATGTTGGGTTGCTCAGCAACTTCAACAGTGAGACTTGCTCAAAGAACTTGAGATCCCACTAGAAATACAGTGGAAACATAGGCCTATCTGGAACTTGTAGAAATAGGGAGCAGTTGAAAATCAGATTTAAATACTGAAGTTTTCAATGGAAGGGATGAAGCTGTGTGCTTGTATCCTTATCCTTATGGTCTCTCTGTGGACCAAGCCCTTTTCCTCTACGGTAGAAGCCAAGCCCCAAGTTAACTGCATACTACTGTTTCCTAGGGGCCTGCCAATGAACTTACTAAAGAAATGGAAGAAGTCAACATCACCAACATCCTCAACAGCTCCATCACCAGCTATAAGCGGAAAATCAGCTTCACAAGCATTGAGATTTCTAGCGATAATGTCAACTGCAGTGACCTGACCATGAAAACTCATGAGAAAATCAAATTTGTCTTGAGAAACAAAATGCACAGGATTATCAATTATTTCACTATTCAGAACCCCAGCAATGTAGACCATTACTCTAAATTGCTTTTCCCTTTGTTCTTCATGTTGGTCAATGTGTTTTACTGGGCTTATTACCTCTATTTTTAGAAGTGGGTTGTTTGGTTCTCCCGCTTCAGCAGAACAGGAATCCTGCCAGGGGGCATCTTGGTATCTAACCTCAGTGAATCCAACGTGAACAAAATGCTCTGTTGTATTTCCTGGGATGTGAAGCAGAAGAACGTGGGTATGTGAGATGCAAAACCCTGGTGTTTCAGCAGCAGTGACATTGACCCTGGGCTCTTGCCTGCTCAGCTGAGTCTCTGTGCTGGGCGCCTATGCTTGTACCTGCCTTTCATTTCAGCGTCCAGCCTCTCATCTGCACTGGAGATGGGTGTGTAGGACCACATGCGGCAGGTTACTAAGCACCAGAGTTAGCAAAATTACCCTGGTTACCTGAAACAGGTTGCAACCTTCTAGTTTAGATCTCCATGACGATGTAGGATTATCAATGTTATTCTGTGTTTGCAAGAGATAACAGTGACAGAGGGACCGTGCTGTCTTGATGGCTCCTCTGTTCAAGCAGCTGAGGCCAAAGGCGGCAGGATGCGGTGCGTAGAGAGGAACGGTTCCCCTGCCCAATGGCACTTCCCTGTCCCAGGGTAGTGTAGGGCCAGAGCAAAAATTTTGGGGGTGCTGGGATCAGCGCAGTCATATGCTTGCCTGGAGCGAGTGGCAGGCTTACTGGGGTAATCCGTGCTCACTGAAGGATCCAGCTCTGACACAGACGGAGGGCTGTTCATAGCTATTTGCAGAGCTCGGGGTTTTTTCCAGCTATTTGGGAGCAGGAAATAGGGGCAGCAGCACTGTCTCGTAACCCAGCTCTCGTACTCTGCCTGTTTTGCTGGTTACTGTTGTGCCGCAGTCAAGCAGATTCAGCCACCTTCCACGTTTTCATAGGTCACCTTTCACACTGGAGAGCATCTCCTCCTGCTCTCGCTGCTCCTGTTTCTTGCTAGCCATATGCAAGAGCAGCCAGCTTGTCCTCCCGTCTTTTCTGTGGTGGAGCATCAGCAGTACTGCTGGGTGCAGACCAACGTACGATGATCCAAATCGGCCTTTCGCTCTAGCCTCTTGGCGTAGCTGATGCGGTAAGTACCTGCCCCAGATTCCTGCTCAAAAAAATTGCACTCCTGGTATCGCGTGTACTAGTTTTCTGGCAAACCTGGTTCATATGTACAGGCTCCTTTTGACACGCAGGTGGGTGACAAGTAGCGCATGCCAAAAACACTTTGGGGCACAGCACGCGTTTCTCAGTAAAGTGTGAGAGACACTGAGTGGTAAGGGTGCCGTGGGAACGGAAAGGAGTGATTTTAGATTCCAGCCCTTTTGCGAATTGTATGTTTCTGATTCCTCCAGTGAAAAATGGGAAAGGCAAAAACCTGACATGCAAGGGATTAATTTGGCTTGAAACAGACAGTTTGTTGTCTTTACACAGTACCTTTGCAAAGCTTTTCTATAAAGGGTAATGGTCTGCTCAAGTGAAAAGTCGCGCCAACTCCATGCATACCTCAAACACCTCGACCAAGCCAAGAGGAAGAAGCTATAAACTAAACAGAGTTGTGCATTAAAATATTATACTAGAAGGTCAGTCCAACTGTTGACCACGCCTTCTTGTTGAGCAAGATTTGCCTGGTGTGCTCTGCTTGGGAAAGAAGGCCTATTGTCAAGGTAGTTCAGTCTGTAAACCAGACGCACTACTGCTTTAAATGAGACCTTTGCAGGCCTTGGCTCAAAGTGCTTTCTGTTCCTGTCTCAGGA